TAAAATTTAAAATTTGTGAACATAGACAATTAGATCCAACATTCTAACTTTTTATACATGTGATCATAAAAAATAATAATTTTATAATATTTTATTGACTAAATTCATACTTTAATTAAATCATTAAATGTTTTGTATTATTAATTTAACAATTGTGTTATTTATAAACAAATATTGTATTTATCCACGAAAGATAATATCTTATAATGTTATGTGGTTTGGTTTTTTGAATAAACAAACAAATTCATAAAAATATATTTTTGCAAATTACTTTAACTTGTTCAAATAAAATCTTAAAAGATTCAAAATTATCCTTACAAAATCATTAAAATTTATTGATATTATATAAATTTTTTAAAAAACATTATAATTTGTAACATATCTTAAATAAATTTTTTGATTAAAATATTTTTCAATCAAAAGGTATATAAAGTTTCAACATACAATACTAAAACTCTTTTATAATCAAAAACTAAAAAAACTAAAAAAAGAGATGTTAAAAAACAAAATGTTTGATCAATTATTAATGTAATCAAAAGTTAATGATTTCAATTTCTACCATATATATTGATAAAAATGTTGCAAAATTATCAAATTTTATTCAAAATTAGTCATCATATAACATCATTTTCAAAACTTGTTCAAGATTATCAACTAAAATTGAAGTATATAATGCTAAAATTGTTAATATTTATATTGAATTCTTTCATAAAAAATTCAAAAAAAAAAGAATTTTCATGTGGAAAGAAAAAAAAGGAAAGAAATTTTATTTTTTAAAAATAGAATATTATTTACAACAAACGTTGTTTAAAATTACATTAAAAGTGAAAAAAATAAGAATATAGCATATTGATAAGATATGTGAATGGAATTTATAATGAGAATGATTAATGTGAAATGTATTGATGTTTATATATGATAGATGTATATTTATTCATTTTAGTTTGATGACGATTATCACTTGTCTTTAACGAGATGTCGTTACTCACAAATGCTCGAATTGAAAAGCAGATTTTTGAACGAGATGTCGTTACTCACAAATGCTCGAATTGAAAAGCAGATTTTTGAACGTTTGACATTTTGGTGAATGGTGTAGTTTCAAAGAGCGTGGGAGTATGAGTATGATTTTTAGGATCTAGGGCAAACAAGATATACACGACAGACAAATTTAATATTAGACTTACACAAATCTTCACATTGCTGGAGCATGGACGCACCCAAACTAAGAATTGAGCTCACGAACTCTCGTCATTGATCGAGCATGGACACATTCAAACTTGGGATTGATTTCACACAAGTCTCGTCTTTGTTGTATATGAATGAGCTTCCAAGTATTTCAAGATTTATCCATCGTGAAGAATGTTAATACGCTCGGCAATATGTTTTCCAATTCAATTGTTTATGAGTTGTTATCTCTTTGATCAAAACTAATAATCGTCGTCATCAAATTCAAAAGAACCAAGTTGACAGAAAATCAACAAGTTCAAAACGTGCATATTCCTTGAAAGACATCAAACACAAAATTATATAACTTTCATATTTTTTCATTTTGCCCTACCAACACAAAAATTATATTCATGTTTGACAAATTATTGCGTATCGACTTCTCAATTGTCAATTTTGACGTTTTAACAAAATTGTCTTTTTCCACATTACATTACGCAATGTGTACGGTGACAAAACTATTTAGGCATTGCATATTTTACAAAAAACTATGTGATTTTGATGTTCAAACACAACATTCATTGGATTGTAAACTCAAAAAAATGCAAGTTCATAGCGCAAAATCCTTCCTCGTCACTAGTTCTGCACAATTGAAATTTGCAGAGCAAAATACTTTCCCCTTGAACGATGACAATTTGTCTTTGACAGTAACAGTCATTGCCGAACAATGACGGTTTGTTGTATCTCGGAGCGGACACGGTAAGATGTTTCTAGTAAATAATATAGACTAGATCGTTAGTGAACTCATTAACAATCTATATGAATCAAAGTTATTAATCACATGGTGTGGATTTGGAAAACAAGTCAACCTCAAGTATTGCTATTAGTAGTTGTATGTTGTATACTACTTTGATATTCTAGAGCATCCGTTTCCTCCGCAATTGCACTGAGTTATATAATAGAATTTTTATTTTTTCATTAATTTCTTTTTTGCTCTTGATAAAAAAAATTGGATGTTTATTATAATGTAACAAGTTGAAATTATAATTACGTTGGCTTATTTTATAATGTAATGATGTCGAAGTTTCTTCATATTTCATGACATTGTTGTTTTCTAATAGAAGTTATTTTTGACATCGTTTTACATTAGGATGTTCATAAGCATGTTTGTTCCAATTACGTCTAGATAGTACGCCGCAGGCAAATTGGAAAAGTCTTAGTTAAAATTCCAACTTTCATGAGTTAGAAAGAAATTTATGATGCTCTACAGTATGTTGAAGTTCTCCAAACCAATGATGGATGACATCAAAAATCTTCAAATATCCAAGAGGAGTTGGATTCACGGAAAAAAAAAATGTTTGGCTTTTAACCTTTGGCTTTGTAAAAAATATTTATGAGAACGTAAATACAGCTTCGTATACTCACATGCAATATTCCATATGATGAGGTCAAGCTAATTTGGTCACTGTTTCATTGTCAGAGAACTATTGTCTTATAGTTGTGAACTTCAAATTATTTTAGGTATATGTGTTTGTTTTTTGGTTATTTTCTTTGATATAAAGTATATTAGCTGGTTTTTTGTATGATACTTCGGTTCGTTAAGAGTCTATCAATATGATACTATACAAGTTTTAGTGAAATTTTTTCATTCAACTATTTTCCGTGAGACATTTCAACAAAATTTATCATCTTCAATATGATACATAGATTTCATTAATGTAAGTAGACATTTGCATGATGTGTGTGATGGTTCAATATCGATTGAAAAAATCAATTAGTAACACATTATGAAAATTTGTAATTGAATTAAAAAATAATATTTAAAATATTTGAATAGTTTTTTTAAATAATTAAATACATTATTAATTTTATTTCAAAATTTCATGTAGATAGAAAAGACTAGAGGTATTAGTTTATTATTTCCATCGGATTTATTTATTGTACATCCATCACTGCTTCAGCAAGATTTAATATTTTTTTAATTTAATTTTCAACAACTCATGCGGTTTACATTTAAAGTGTGACTATGTTATTTATATACTGATAAATATTATACTAGACAACATGATTTACTTTTTGTAGAATATTGTAAAATCTAGTGTGTCCAACATGCTTCAAGTAGCCTATAGATTTAAGAAGCATAATAAGCGAGGTGACATGCATAGCAATGATGACTCATTTAAACCAAATCTTTTGAATACCTTGGATGATGTACAACGTACTTTCTATTATGAACATCCCCAAATTAAATATGTGTAATATTCCTAGGTTTTGATGTAAATTCACATGATAATTTGTTATCTATGAGGTTGCAATTTTTTTTCTTTCTAATTTAGTCAATTACATTATCTTTCATGTTCTTTCCACCAATTCTGATCTTAATCGTCATTTTCTTCCTCACACTACCTTAATCAGCTCGTTTACAAACTTGAAAAATAGATTAGAAGTGTGAATGAAGAAAATGCGTTGTTCATGCATTTCCTCCTTAAACTTAAGAAACACCTTCTCGTTTCTTTGACATGAATGTATGAGATTAACACGATATTGGTATTGATGCGTTTACGAATTGCATAGGTCGACATGAGCTGTGAAGCAATAGGAATGAGTGTAGATGCTGTTGCGCGTACAGGAGCTGCCCTTGCACTTTCGTATCTAAATCTGAAGTTTGTAGCACCTCTCAGAGTAAGGATTCTTTTCTGATACTGAAATCTTCCATTAGAATCTCCATCTCTTGTCCCGTAGCTTCACTACTTCTCATGTATATATATAGTAGCAATGTTTTAAGGTCAATTGTGTAGAGTACATTACAGCTGTTTAACTTCAGATTATTATTCTAGATATGTGTTTGTTTTCTGGTTTATTTTTCTTCTATATCCAGTATTTTAGCCGGTTCCCTCGTATAATACTTTGGTCCGTTTAGAGTCGATCAATCTGAGCCTCTAACAGTTCCGGTGATTTTTCTTCAATTAATTGTTTTGCGTGAGACACTTCAACTAGATATGTCATCTTCACTTTCAACTAGATTCATATGCTTCATGGAAGGAAGTAGGCATTTGCATGATGTGTCTGATGGTTCATTTCGAAAAATTGAGAATCACATGAAGAAAAGTCAGCCCAAACAAACCTTGGAACATACCATGTGTACTTGGAGAATCCATAAAGGAAATGTTTTGGGGATGAGGTAACTACGAGCCGATCCTAAGCCTATCCTTTAACGATCAGCACAGAGGTAAATTTCAGCGGCAAAACGGAATGATCTGATCTTGTAAGGCAGTTGACAAAACAGGCAATGTTGCTACTAAGAAACGAACACTTTAGTATTTTCCTTACGAATACGGCAAAATTTGACAATCTCATGACAGAGCCGTTCGTTCAAATTACGGAATATCGTGTGGAGTTTAATGTTCCCTAATGCTGTGAATTGGAGATTTACTGCCATAAGTTGCACAAATTCCTTGAGATATATGACGGGTTGAATCACATAAGCAAGTATAACCTCTAGTGGCTATCTCTAATACACATCTAGATTCCAAAAACTGCTTCGAAAACAAGGATAAAGTAGACAAGCGTACTTATATTTGAAAGTGCAAGTATGTCAACAGTGGCCTACACGATCTGAGGAACATTTCACATTAACGAAGGAATTTTGCACGTTAAGTGTTTCTAAATTTACCATACAAAAACAGAATCGCGACTAAGTAGCAGTTACGTGCTGGGGACTCGGAAAGCTAGCGTCTCGGTGACGATAAGTCAGTTCGGGTTAGGTTCAGTGACGTGCAAGAAGAGCAGCCTGTCGACAGCCTGTCGACAGTGTGCTGCCTGGTCTTGGTCTGCCTGGTTGCCTCCTGCCTCCCACCCTCCCCTCATCTTCCTCCCTTCTCGACGAAAGAGAGTGCAATCCCTAGGGCAGACGCTGATGCACCGGCCGCCAGAGGAAGACCAGACCGAGCGGAGCGACTGGGCGAGCGACGAGAAGGAGAGAGTCGGGTTGTGGATGCCATAGAGGTCGAGTCCGATCGACTGCTCCCTGGTTTTGAAAGAATATCGCACGTTTATGGGAGATTTGCAGTTCATCGGGGAAAATTTGAAGCAGTCGGCGTCGAAAGTGACGAAGATTGTATCGTAGGGTGTGGAGATGGAGGAAAGGGCAGTAAAGCACGGCCGAAGGCGCAGAGTATTCCACGGCCGGCCATCGATGGTGGTAAGGGCTTTGTCAGCCCGAGATCACCACGAGGAAGGACTCGCGACGAGAGAGAAGTTCGCACCGGATTCTCCTTCTGATAGGGGAGCGCTGTTGCTGGTTTACCTCAGCACGGTCCAGACGGCGGCACCATGTCGGTGGTGAGCACCGCGAGCGTGCCAGCAGCCCGCTCGTTGTGCTGCCGAGACTGCTGCCCACCAAAGGCTGCTGGGCTTACTCGAGATGGATGGCTACGATTACAGACGAATGCTACCAGGAGGTCGCAGTAGTCACTGTAAACATAAGGCAAGCTCCAATAGCTCCGACATGTTTTCAGATTCGAGTTGGAGCGAGTTTTTCACCATGCGTCATCACTGTCAAATCTGATGACTCCGTAACCTGTATCAGGCATTTGTGCAAGGCCTTGCTACAGCAGGAGTTTTCAGCACATGCGTTTAGAAGAATGTTTTTGCAAGCTGGAACTTACGTGGATAAGTGTACTGCTGCAGGGCAAGAACTCTCTTGTTTCGTATTATGGACTGCACCAACTGCACATCTTCATCTCTGTGTTACTCGGGCTGCATTCTGTACGAGGATGAGACTTTCGATTAAGGACAGTCAGCCGCATTGGTGGCATCGAAGGTCAGTGATCAATTCGGGACGAATGACTTATTGTGCTTGATGAAGTTGTTGCGATCAATTTGATGAAGATTAGATGAAATCAGATGGAGTGGCTGCATTTCCAGGGTTTTTGGTTTCTTTGGGTTCATTAACGGCACTGCCTGGGCTGGACTTCGCGCCAGTGGAGGTTTTTTATTACCTGTGGGAGTTGAAAGAGTCGATAGTACCAGCGCTGTTGCTGGTTTACCGGCAGCACGAGCTGAGGTCGGTACCATGACGTTGGTGAGAAGAGCGATGGATCCAACTCCGCCACTCTGTCAAATGTCTATTCCAATCCCTGCTTTGTTTTCTTTTTCTCGCCCTTGCCCTCTTTCTTTTTCTCCCTCGACCTATCGAAATTGTCGATAGTCATTTACTGTGGTCAGAAGTGTACATAGTTGACGTACAAAATCGTACGTAGTTGACGCGGGCGGAAGGGGTAGCCCAAATTCCGACCACGGTTCATACGTTTAACTACGTGGTTGACGTACAAAATTGTACATAGTTGACGTACGAAAACGTGCATAGTTGACGCGGGCGGACGGGTAGCCCCAATTCCGACCACAGTTCATATGTGTAACTACCTGGTTGACGTACAAGATTGTACATAGTTGACGTACAAGATTGTACATAGTTGACGTACAAGATTGTACATCGTTGACGTACAAAATTGTACATAGATGACGCGGGCGGACTGGGTAGCCCCAATTCCGACCACAGTTCATACGTTTAACTACTTGGTTGACGTACAAAATTGTACATAGTTGACGTACAAAATTGTACATAGTTGACGTACAAAATCGTACATAGTTGACGCGGGCGGACGGGGTAGCCGAAATTCCGACCACAGTTCATACGTTTATCTACTTGGTTGACGTACAAAATTGTACATAGTTGACGTACAAAATCGTACATAGTTGACGCGGGCGGACTCGGTAGCCCCAATTCCGACCACAGTTCACACGTTTAACTACTTGGTTGACGTACAAAATTGTACATAGTTGACGTACAAAATCGTACATAGTTAACGCGGGCGGACGGGGTAGCCGAAATTCCGACCACAGTTCATACGTTTAACTACTTGGTTGACGTACAAAATTGATTGATGATACCCTAATGTTGATTTCATTGTTCCATTTCCCTGCTTTGCGAAAAAGTTCCCAGCAGAGGGAATCGAACCCCCGACCGCGGAATTGGTAGTTCCATACGCTATCCACTGCGCCATACTGGGTTTCTGTCAAAAAGTGACTGCGGTACAAAATTTATTTCTTTAATTTAATAATATAATTAATCTGTCAAAGTTATGACACACCATCTCAATACACCCTACCCCACCGGACCTGTCCTCATACTCCCCGCCATCATACTCGCCTTCCATCATACTCCCAGCCCACCATTTCTCGCCTTCGCCCAGCCTGCTCGGTGAACGTCTGGCTCAGTCCCGACCAAAACCGTTTGTCCACGCGAGCCCACCATTTCTCGCCTTCGCCCAACCCGCTCGGTTAATGTCCGCCCCAGTCCCAATCAAAACCGTTCGTCCACGCGGCCCGCTTCCTCCGTGCAGGTCTACATCGCCCCGACCCGGTTCTTTCCGCTCCTCGCCAGGTTGCGTAAGAAAATAAATTATGTGAGAACAAATCTTTCGTGCCGATGTACGTCGCCCCGACCCGGTTCTTTCCGCTCCTCGCCAGGTTGCGCTAGAAGATAAATTATGTGAAAAGAAAATAACAATAACAGTCGTTTGTGCTATCAAAATCATGATATGTAATAATAATGTACCACTAAAATTTGCAGACCGCATGACATCAATTTGCATAAGAAGATTGATTTTCTACCAAGATTCAACTAAGATTTAAAACTATACCACAATGCGAAAACAAACTCAATTTATTTGAGTAAAATTTTTTCGTTTCTGCGTATGTAGCCCATAACGGCAAGTTACGTACATTGGTGTAATCGCATTAACGTACGCTCGTATCGTCTTTTTGTACTTGTTAACATGTGAGTTTGCGGTTGTATTCTTGAAATTGTTTGCAATAATACTTAAATTTCATCGTGTGTCCTTATCTTTCCACTAATATACCTACTTGATACACCATTATCTATTTGCACATTTAATTAAAAAAAATCATAAGAAAAAATAAAAATTTTGTGTAAACTGTCAACTAGGATGTGAACAAAACATATGCAATAAACTATGCAAAATAAGATAGATTTGATCTCATAAAATAATAACATGATTATTACTTCATTTTACTTACATGCAATACAAAGTCTATACTAGAACATGACTCATCAGGCCTTAATTCAAGGTAAACCTCAATTAACTCAATCATTTTATGATATTAAAAAAACAAATGATTTTATAAATAAAATATAAAATAATATTTTATTTATTTTATTTGAAATTTTATTTCACTCACAACCAAATAAAAATTGACGAAAAATTGATTAATTATATCTATTTTTTTTCTAATGATATTAGGGTAATTAGAGTTTTTTTTGCTGCTTCTATTGATATTACAGTAAGTATTATATTATGCTGTATTAAAAATATTATTTTATGCTTTAATTTTTATGTTTGATAAGAAAATTAATATTTGTCATCTATATTTTATCGTTCATCAATATCAACCTAAGCCATTAATTGATTGTCAATATGAAATAAGTCATAATACGCAAAGTAAAAATCTGTTTGAGTTACTTGACATATCTGAATTTTTTTTCATCTTTATAAGAAATGAAATGAAATATAATATATATATATATATATATAAATTAAACACATTTATATAAAAAAAATTTCAAGTAAAATTCTAGTTATTATTATTGATGATCTAGCAGATTATCAGTATACTGATAATCTAAAATTTGTGTTCAATTTGGTAAAAAATTTTGAACATAAAGTTAATCTTCATGAAAATTATCAGAGAAAAATAGTATTTATCAGTAAAAAAAAACTCTACTACTGCAAGTAAAAGGGAAAGCGGTTCGGCCCGCATTGCCCTGCTTTACGTTTTCTTGTATCTAAAATGTCTTATCACTATTCTGATAGTAAGCCTCAAGATCATGAAATCCTCTCGTCCTCGTAAAATCCTTCTCTGAAGAAATAACTTTCCTGACCAAAATCTCACATTTGAAGAAAAGATCACAGTGTTTTGCAATTCCTGTAGCTTCAAAAAAACATGTCTTTCAACATGTAAAGCATCGAACTCCCTGCTGGACGATACGCGACAGACGGGGGTTGAATGTTCCCATGAACCGGAAGTACAGTGCTTGTCTCCTTCCCTAAATCTTTGTGTGATTATCGGTCCTGGTTAGAAGGGAAATCAAAGGTTCATTGAGATCATCGTCCACCTAGACATTGACTGCAAGATCTCCAGCTTCATGAACATATTCTTGTTCTCTATCTCCAAGTTTGACTTGGTAAAACAGTACTCAAGCTCATGGATGTTGTAGATCGCTTCTTCAAGCGGATGTGATCTCGTCGAGTTCTGGTGATCGATGTTGGAGCTTTCAACTCTGCAGACAGTTATGTTGAAAGCCAATGTCTTTCATCTAACGAGACTATGTCTGTAGCATTTGATATCTCCAATAATGCCTTGGATGAAGGTTGATCTATTATACCCTATAGGGCATAATCGTCACATGGAACTACTTGAGGTTCACTCAAACTCATCATAAGGTCCATTCTTCCCACATCTTTGTTTCTCAGACTACATATAAGATCATAATTTCTGTTCTGCACTTTTTGATGTTGCAGTTTTTCTACTTCAGCATTTTCATCCACATGTTTCCGTTTTAACGGCCCCAATCTGAAGAAATAGGCATTGAAGAAATAGGCATTGAATGATCTTTCAAGGCAATCTGCACGGAGATTAGCTCACACTCCCTGAATTTTTGTTCAAGCAGTGTCTCCACCCAATCTTACTGGAAGTTGGAGAAGGGTTCACAATAAATCTTCACTCGTTTATTTGTCGTGCAAAGAGCTAAAAGGCACCCTAATGAGATCTTTCTATGTTAAACAAAGAACTCAATGTGATAGGAATGAAACCCCGGAGACCAGCCAATGCTGCTGGATTGAGAATAGTCACAAGATGGCCCGCCGCGACTGCCAAGAGATTGGTTTATGAAAATTTGATGCAATCGAGAAAAAACCAGCACTCTCACCAACGTGACAACCTGCGATAATGAATTCTGTACAAAGTAGTAGTTTTAATGAGCAAGTATTTAGTTTTGCATTGATGAAGAAGGTGACTACAAACATCAAAGTGTCTAGACAATATATGAATCACAATATTACATATATGAGTGTTTTGTTTAGCAATTTGTGAGCTGCAAAAAAATATTCATTGTTCAATTCATCATCATCATGAAAATCATGCATTTTAACATTCCAAGACAATTTCATATCCAATGTAAAGACTATATTAATTCCTAAAATCATACGTTTTGATCATAATTGATGATATTCAAATCATTTTAGATTTCAATGGTTCAAAAAATTTATGAAGAAAAAAAAGTGTTTGCAATCTATTTCAAACTATTGTCACAATTTGCTAAAAATATAAATTGCAATATTTAAAGTAATGTCAACAACTTTTTAGTAAATCCCTAATATTGTAAACTTGGATTGAGTACTTACATTATGTTTCATTACAAAGTTTTATATCACATAATTATTATCTATCTTATAGATTAGACAAATAAGTTATATAGCTTGCTTTTATGTCAACATGAAATTTTTTTTAGATTCTAGCTTAAAATTTTTCAAACACAAAAACACATATCAATCAATTCATGTATGCTACAAGTCAAAGCTGAAAATGCTCATACAGTAAGATAGCTAACGATAAAAATTCATTCTTCACATCATTTAAGAGAATATATAAAATTGTAAGGAGAAAAAAACATTGAATTTAATAATTTCTTTTGCAATTTCCATGCATTTTCAATATCTAAAAACAATTTTTGCTTCGAAATATTTTTAAAGATTTATTACTAACTCATAAATTTCAATGAAATTTTTGTGATTAAGTTCAAATTCTTATTATTTTTCATAGTTTTGATTAACATGCTTGAAATTTTGAAAAATGTATAAAGTAAAATAATGAAAAATGTAAAAAGTAAAGGACTTGTTATTTCTCAATTTATGATACTTCTTTATCACCCTACAAATCATGTACAACTGGTTTGTTCCAATGGGAACACACACAATCGAGCCATTTTTTTTGTTACCAACCCTACGTCTGCGTTTAATCTTGACAGCGTAACCATGATACAACGCATAAGCTTGCATTGCTGATAGAGTAGCATTGAAAGTTGTTTGGGAGAACTTTGGCGGTGGAATGAGCGTGTTCATTTTGAAATGAGATACTGCTGACCAATCCAATACCTCATTCTTAAGCAATTGATATAATTTTTTTAGTGTGAGTGATAATTAACATAAAAAGAGCAATAACTAGCCGCTCCCATTATAAAATAGAGATTTACAATTTGAGGTTTTCTAAACATCAAGAAATTAGTTTTTCAATTGACAATGTCTTATATTAAATTCTGTTTTTTTATTATAACAGTAAAATTTTATTTTATTTGAATATGACATCTATACTCAATTAATGAAAAGAAAACTACATTAAGATTTTTTCATTTTTTCAAATTACAGCATTTTCCAGAATATAAGAATAACGAGATAATAATGAATCATCAACATATTTATAATTGAGGTGTTTAAGAAATTTTTTAAATCATTTTAAAGAAAATATTTTTTAAATTTTAATTTATAAATGATGAATGAAAATAAAATTTTTGAGGCATTTAAAAAATATTTACCGATACGGCTGTATTGAAATTAATTTAACAATAATTATTAAGATTAAATTATTTTATGGCATAAATTATATTTCTATTTATAATCGGAAAATTTTGAATTTATTATTTAAAATGTAGTTAAATTTACTCTTTAAAATAAAATTAAGGTTATTTTACATTTTATTAAGATTTGAAAGCTGTTTTTTGAAATGAAAAAATGATCATAAAAAATATCATTTATTATCTTAAAGGAAATTTCAAAATTTCTATTTTATTTAAAAAAATGATTAACAATTACATTTATTCTATTTCACATTTTTGAAAATATATATGAATAAAATTTTAAAAAATTTAGATGCATCTTTTGAAAACTGATGTGATGACATTTATTTATATGTTTGTACTATCAACCTATTTTTTATTTATGAATTCAAAAATGTGTATTTCTGGTGTGTTTTAAGTCATCATATGCACTAGTTATTTTTACATGACTAAAATGAATTTGAATAATTTTAAGAGTTTTATTTTTATATTTGTACCCAAAAATCTTCTTAGAAATTATGTGACTGGTGAAAATAACAGGACTTCTTTTAATTCAAATAGATTCAAATTTGCAACAAAAGTGTGTTTCATCAAATAATCAAGATATAAAATTTCATGATTATAAATTAAATTTAAAAAAAGCATATAATTTTTTCTAACTTTAATCAAGACTTAATATAAAATAAACGTTAGATATGTACCATAATTTTTAATCTAAAAATCACAGTAAAATTTATTATATTCAAATAATATTTGCTTAATTATTTGAAAAATACATACTTCATATTATGAAAAATTTGATATTATTAGTTATTTAGAATACATACATAAAATAGAAAGTTAAAGTCTAATTTGAAATTTTTGATATATAATTGTAAGTTACTAGATATTCTTAAAATCTTTAT